AATATTGGTAATTGTCCATAAATTACGTGTAGATAATAGTATGTCCTGTGAAAATAATACTATCCTTTTGCATTACTGTTAACCTTTTTCAAAATTGGAAATATTACGGTATAACTTTCCATTTTGGCTTTTGTATTTACCAAAATGAAATATAAGTGTGATATTTTAATAGATGTTCTTTAAAAGAGAATGTATGATCGAATCAAGGCAGTTCATATTTCCATTGTTTTACATATGTATCTCTATCTGATACATATGTATCACCTATATCAAATATTACCTATATTATATTGTTTCCCCAAAATACATTTAATTATGTTGTGAAAAATATTTTTAAACATTGAAAAGAATAATCACTTCAAAACCATTCCTTTGTCCCATACCCTTTTAATCTTCATCTGTGATGATATTGGAGTTCTAGGCAAGAGGTATAATGCAGATATAATTTTGCAGTAGAATGATTAATAGTAGAACCATCTTTGCTAAAGTTCCACATGTCTTGCATAGTGCTGGACTTCGTGTACACATTCATACATACAGTTTCTCATCCCTTCAAGAGAAGTATTTGCATTTAAAGGTAACTGTCCTGGTAAAGGGGTGAGCATGTCTAAAATTCCTGATTGTAAATTACAACTGGATTAAATTAAATTGTAAATTAAAACTGGTTTAGCAGATCCCATGTGTAGTCTATACTCATTGAAGTGATTTACATTGACAACACTGATGAAATTCCAGGATTTCCAAACTCATTTAAGTATTAAGTAAATATCAAAATTATTTTTCACATATTTTTAATTCCACAACCATAGAAAAGTGATAAATGTGCTTATTATGGTAGTCTGAAGTGTGTCCCCAGATTAAGTTGGGAGGATGGCTTTTGCTCTCTAGATTGTCTTTCTGTGGTTTAGTTGTCATAGTTCTTTATATATTCTAGACCAGAAGCAGATGTATCACTTGCAAATACCTTCTCCCATGTTGTAGATTTATCTTCAGTTTCTTACTAGTGTTTGAAGGATACAAGTATTTAGATTTTATGAGTGTCATTTTATGTTTCCTTTGGTTCTTTGTGCATTTGCTAAGCTTATCTAAGAAATTAGTAACTAAGGGGGGGAGGGGGGAATGAGAAGGATTGGGATGGGGGGGAGGGGGGAGGCTGGGAAGGGATGGAAGGGTAAACAAAGGAGGAGGCTGCAATGCTTGGTAAGAAATGTACGCATTATCTGCCCATGCAATTGTAACCCCTCTGTACAGTATGTTCACAAATAAAATAAAATAAAATTTATAAAAAAAAAGAAATTAGTAACTAAGATTCATTAAGATTTATCACACCTGTATGCTTTTTACTCATATACCTTGATATATAATCCTTGATATACAATATATTGTGAATTTATTTTTGTATTCAAACTTAATTCTTCATTCCTTTACAACTGATACACAGTTAAAAAACATTTCATTCCCCCTGTGAATTGGTTTGTTATCTTTGTTAGACATGAATTTAAAATGTAAGGGCTTATTTCTGAACTTTCAGTTTTATTCTTATAGTCTGTATATCTCTAGTACTACATGATTTTTCTTCTTTTTTTTTTTTTTTTTAGTGGATTGTGGGGCCTGAACTCTGGACCTGGGTACTGTCCCTGATCTCTTCAGCTCGTGGCTAGTGCTCTACCATTTGAGCCACAGCACCACTTCTGGCTTTTTCTGTTTATGTGGTGCTTAGGAATCGAACCAAGGGCCTCATGTGAGGCAAGCACTCTACCACTGAGCCCCTACATGATTTTTATTACTACAGCTAGCTTTGTAGTAAATTTTATGAATGGTAGAATGTGTGGTCTGTTCAGAGAATGTCCGAAGAACAATTGAATGAATGCTCTTATTGGGTGAAGTGTTATATAGATGTTAGGTATGATAGAATTGTATTGCTGTTTATTTAATTTACTTCATTTTGACGTCTTTGTTATATATATATATATTATTATGTATATACACATGACTGTTATTTTGCCTTCATAAATAATAGATTTACTTTTAGGTCACTTCAATTTTTTTTTTTTGTCTGATAGCAGTGGCTCATACCTGTAATCCTAACTACTCAAAGGCTGAAATCTAAGAATTTTGATTTGAAGCCAGCCAAGCAGTAAAGTCCATGAGATGCTTATCTCCAGTTAACTACCTAAAGCCTGGAGTAGAGCTCTGGCTCAAGTGGTAAAGCATCAGTCTTGATCAAAAAATTGAGGGACTGCATCTAGACTCTGAGTTCAGGTGTGAGTACTGGCACAAAATAAAATATCTGACAGCAGATACTTTGTATTTTTATTAATAATTTTTATCTTGAGCTCTAGTTTGTATCATATTAGTATAATAGCTAATCTAAATCTGCTTTGGTCACACCTTACATTCTTTTATTTTCAAACTATTTTTTTATCTTTGATTAAAAATGCATCTGTTGTAGACAGCATCTGCTTAGATGGTTTTGGTTTTTGTTTCCTAGTTTTTACTTTTTTAATTGATATTTTTAATCCATTTACTTTTACCTAATTTGGGGATATGTACTTTGCTGTTTTTTTTCTTTAAAGTTTTCCTTAAGTTTTATGACCTTTGTAGCTCACTGTTCTCCTTTGTGGGTTGGTGTGTGTGTGTGTGTGTGTGTGTGTGTGTGTGTGTGTGTGTG